CCTGCTAGGTTGTTCTTTTATCCACACACAGATCCCCCCACTTCTGGTTTCCACCTGTAGACACAATCTCACCTCCTCTCAACCAAATGCTACATGTGGCATAGGGTAGGACTGGCTGGGTGGGCAGAAGCCCCTCCTGCTAAGGCCATCTAACAATGACTGGGAATCCCCTACAGTGGAGCCACTGAAAGCCATAATATGGAAGCATCTATAGATTGCCCTTAGGGGGCTGTAGGAGGACTTACTGAATATGCGTTTTTTGTTTTTTTTTAAAGAGAGATTCCTTTAGGAAGTGGCATTAGTATTAAATACTTTCCAATGTGAAAAGAAGAAAAAAACAATCTTAAGAACTCACTCTGTGTCAGGTATAGTGGTGCACACCTGTAATCCCAGCAGCTTGGGAAGCAGAGGCAGGAGGACCATGAGTTCAAAGCCAGTCTCAGCAACTCAGTGAGGCACTTAGCAACTCAGTGAGACCCTGACTCTAAATAAAATACAAAAAAGGGCTGTGGATGTGGCTCAGTGGTTAAGCACTCCTGGATTCAATCCCCAGTACCAAAAAGAAAAAGAAAAAGAACTCACCCTGATTCTATTTAACATCTGCTGTTCAAATTTAGAGGCAAGGTACACACTCTAATGTCTTAGGGATACCCCGAGGCTAGCAGGACTCCTGGTGGAGGGTACATCAACTTTGACCTTGTAGAAGATCCATGCCTGGAGCTGGCTACAACCCACCTGTGCCCTTAACGAGGATCCTGCTTTGTTTTTTGGGGGTAGAGGGAGGAATAGGCAAAGCCAACAAAGATGCTTCTAGTTGATTCCAAGTACTATTGTTCAACAGACCCAGACTGCTGAGAAATAGGTGTGGTTTCTCTACTTTAAATGCAAAGTGCAGAGGTTGTCACAGCAAGAGTAGTAATTATGTCATCTGTCTTGTCATGGAATGTGACTATAGTAATTGCAACATTCTCTCCCATCCCTGAAGCTTGTAATTATAGTGCAACTAACAGGATTATGTGCTAACTTGGGCTGTTTTAATCACCTCTTTTACTCTGAAATGGATGGTAAAATTCCACAGTTGTTCCCAGACTACTGATTCTTTTCAACATCTGCTGTCCTGTAGCTTTCTGTGTGCATGTGCTGGGGATGGAACCCAGGGGCTCTCGCTCGCTAGTCAAGTGCACCACCACAGAGCACAGTCCCTGCCCTGGGCTGTGGCTCGGGCAGTCCATCATCACGGAGCTAAGAGCTGATGGGGGATGGGTGGGTGAACATCCACAGTCAGGGAGCTGTAATTTTCTACCAGGATGAAATTCTGTCTTTGAAAGCAAATTGTCTATTTTATGTTTCAAAGATGGCAGATGTCTTCTGGAATCTGGAGATGTCTATCACCCTTATTTTATAGGAAGGAAACCTCCAGTCAGAAAAATCAATCTAGGGCTGATTAAGAAAACCCTCTCTTGGGCTGGGGCTGGAGCTCAGTGGTGGAGTGCTTGCCTAGCATGCATGAGACACTGGGTTCGATCCCCGGCACCACATAAAAATAAAAACAAGTAGAATAAAGGTATGGTGTCCATCCACAACTAAAAAAATATCTTCATAAGAAAGAAAGAAAGAAAACCCTCTCGCCTCATGTCTAAGGAGCAGATGTAAGTTGATTAATGCCTGGATATTACACTGAGAGTCAGGATGTCACCTTTTATGTGTAAGGCACACGGTGACGGTCATGGCCTGTGCTTATGTTTTCCAATCCCATTACGGTAAATGCCTGGGTTTATCTGAGATCCTGTGGGTATAGGGGAATAAAGGGACTTCAGATGCCATATCTGGTTAGGGAAGCTCCCTGGGATGTTTGTTGTAAGATGACATACACTGCATTGGACACCGCTGTGCCTGACAAGCCCATCCTCAGTGGTATAATTGTCTTAGTCCATTTTCTGCAGCCGTTACAGTCCTCGAGGCTGAGAAGTCCAAGAACATGACTCTAGAGTCTGGCAAGTATCTCTGAGCTGCGCCATAATGAGGAGAGAGGGCAGGCAGTGGCCGAGAGGGAAATCCAGCCAAACCTCCTTTTATCAGGAGCCCTGAGACAACAGACAGTTCCTCCCTCTGCTCATGAGGGTGGAGCCCATGTGGCCTCCTCCTAGAGGTCCCACCTGTCAGCACCACCCAAGGCCGTTGCACCCCAACCTGAGTGTGGGGGGTATGCAGACCACAGCAGTGGTGCTCCAGAAACTCGGGGTGCTCCTGAGAGCCCACCTGGGCACAGAGTGTGAAACCAGCGCTCTGTGGCCATATGCTGGCTCTGGTGGCATCCACTCCTGCGATTACTGAGGTTCAAGCACAGACAGGACTCAGGATCCAGAGTGATGGCTATGGGGACACAGCTGTGATCTGGAACCAGCACGGAAAGCAGATGATCTAAGAGCAGCCTGTTTTCTTGAAAGGAGCATGGTGGCATCAAGTAAGTGTCACTTTTGAGAAGCAGCAGAAAACTTCCTGGATGGAACCTGCTCAGGACTGTCAGGACAGTCACAGTGCAGGTGTTCAGCTATGAGGGAAGAAGGCTCACCGATATGGGAGGGACACAAGGACCCAGCCAGAGTGGCCCCCAAGCCCCTTGAGTCCCCTCCTCCAGGACGTGGCCTGATGCAATGTGGAGGTCCTGATGCAGCCCCCGGAAGGCCACCCTGAGGTTACTCTCAGATACCTAAATTAGGCTAAGCCACCCACGAAGGCTGTTGCTGACATCTGCAGTAGACTGACTCGGAAAGGAAGCTCTGTGGTGTCCCGAGAGCCTGCCTCTGGCTGCAGGTGGATGGCGTGTGCAGGTAGCCATCGTGTGGTCAGCCTTGGTCCCCCCCACAGTGGAGACAGTCCACACATCCTGATGATTATGGTGACTTCATCACTTCTGAGTCTTCTCACTATGGGGACAAACACCTCACTTTGTTCTTTCCTTACATCCTCTCAATTAGTTACAAGGAGGATGTTCAGCAATCGCTTCCTTGATGAGATGATGAGGTTGATAGAGAATTCAGAATCAACTGGAGCACGGCCAAGGAAATGAAAGAGGTGGAAATTGAAAACTAGACACTGGAGAGGACGGAGAGCCAGAGGAGGCATCCTTGAAGCACCTGCAGGCCTGATTGTTCTGAGGAGGAAGGGGTGGCTCCCACCCCCAGCCCTGTCTGTGCCAGAAGAGGGGCTTCAGGGAGGAGTCCACTGCAAGAACCCAGTGGTGTCTGCCCCTGTGGCTGCAGAGAAGCTGGCGTGGGAGGAGGGAGTGACACCTGCAGCAGCCGGGACCACTTTCAGGAAGGAGCTGCAGCAGGGCTCAGCCCAGGTGCCCACCCACCATGTGGTTCCTGCACAATGCCCCCCACAGCTCTGTGGCCTCAGAGTCAACTTCCCTACTCCTTTGCTCCTGTCCCTTGTGATGCCGCACAGGTTCCCTGCAGGCTTGGTGCACTCCAGGCCTCTATGTGCCTGGGAAATTCCTACAAGGGTGTCCTGCAAACTACTGCCAATTTCAAACACTCCCACTCAACTCAAAAGACATTTATTTAGGATCTAAAATACTGGCCACAGTGCCACTAAAGGTAGAACCAGAAACCGGCCCAGTAAAAACAAGCTTAGGGATATCTAACACTCCCAGTTTTTACTGAGAAAAGCAAAACTTGAGAGGTTGATTTCTTTGCCCAAGATCGCACAGCTAGCTTAAGGGTGGAGATGAAATGAGAATCCCTGTGTTCCTTGGTGCCCCTTTCTCCATTCCACACTCCTAACAAATGTGGGCTCTGTCTGGATTTAGGTAGACTCTTCAGTTCTACTCCTACTTGATTTATCTAAGGGAAAAAATCATTTTGGAATTATTAATAGGATTCCAACCACTGCTAGTGTGGGTGTGTCTGGCTGGAAATCAGAAGAAGAATCCCTGTAAGATGTGAGCCAGCCTGAGAAGGGACGCAGGGGGCTTTGGAGCACCTAACTCACTGCTCGGCTTTATAGTTCTAGAGAAGACCTGGTGTTGGGTGCCCCAGAGGCAGTGGGGGTGGGAGTGGCTGTTGTGCACTCCCCTGCACCGAGTCTCTCCTCTCTGGAGCCTGGGCCTCAGCCAAGAAGTCTGAGGGGCAGCTAAGTGAACGCTCAGGCCATTCGGGCATCAAACACTGAGGAGCCATGAACAAAAGAACTGGTAACTTCATCTCCCCCAGCAGGGCCTCCCCAGCCCTCTCTCTGCACAGATGGGGGCAGTTCACTGCTCGATGATCAATGATCGATGGCTGATACCGTGCATGGATTAAGATAAGTCTGAAAGAGCCAGGGCTGCCTGGCCAGGAGGGGCTCCCTCTGCCGGAGTGGCGTCCCTCCTCAAAAAGGTACGGTCTTATAAAACAGCAAAAGTGTGTCCTGGGGTTGGGGTTGTGGCTCAGCGGTAGAGTGCTCGCCTAGCATATGCGAGGCCCTAGGTTCAATTCTCAGCACCACATAAAAGTAAATAAATAAATAAATGTGTGTGCGTGTATATATATATATATATATATATATATATATATATATATATACACACACACACACACATAAAGTGTGTCCCGTGAGGGGAACAGAGTCCTCTCATGCTTGGTCCTGAGAGCAGACTGCAACAAAAGAGCTGATCATAAGGGTACACCACCCCCCGCATCCTGGCCAGGGCAGCAGCCTTCTGTCTGACTCTTCCAGAAACAGACCAGCAGAGTCATTCCTGGCCGTTGGCCTGGACCCTGCACTCTCCTCCAACGAGAGTTTGACAAAGGGCCTGGGCCTTCCTGCCAGCTCTTCAGCCCTCTCCGGATGCCAAGCCGGCCTAGCTTCCAGGGGTAGCATCTCCACCGCAGCGTCCTGGGTTTGCACCACCCGCCTGCAGCCTGTCCTCGGGCGGGTCCACCCTGCTCGGGGACTTCTACCCTGGACCACTCGGAGCTGGCCTCTAACCAAGCACCCGTGCTGTGTCCCCACAGGTCTCCCAGGCAGCCGCTGACCTCCTGGCCTACTGCGAAGCGCATGTGCGGGAAGACCCCCTCATCATCCCGGTGCCTGCGTCAGAGAACCCATTCCGGGAGAAGAAGTTCTTCTGCACCATCCTCTAACCCCAGTGGTGAATGCCCCTCCTCCGTCCACAGAAGCTGTAGGGACCGTGCATGCTGTTAGCCTTGGGGCGCCCCCGCCCCACCCCACCCCCAGGCAGACTCACCTCGGTTTTTCATGTTTTCTTCCTGATATTCCATTTCTTTTTATTTGTATTCTCTCATTTTTATGTCATTTTCACTAGTGGCAAAGAGAAATAGACATTTTTATAGCCAAATGACAAATGTGCCCTGTAAACGGTAAGATGGATTTAAGGGTTTACAGGTTTTAAACACCAATTCCCAAGTTTAAATACATGTAGTTAATGAATTTACTCGATAATTCATTGAAATGAAAAAGCATGCCCAAGTAGCCCCCACTTCGGTAACTTGGTTTTGGATGAGAGCATCTCGACCAACCGCGAGGTGCGGGGGTCCCCCGCCGGAGAGAGCAGCACTGGGGTCCCCCACTCCCGCTCCTCCAGGGAATCAACAGCTTCCCTGACCTGCGCTGGGGGCCGCGCAGCCCACCCCGGTTGGACGGCCCTTGCCTCCCTCCGCTTCTCATGGATCGCTGCAAGGTGGTCCTCTTCCAAATGGAACCCTGGGGTGGTAGCCACTGGCTGCCCTGACCCTAAGCAAGGACCAGGACAGCCCTCAGTCGGTACTCAGGCACCGCCACTGCCACCTCTCCTGCTCTCTACTACTCTGGCCCGGTCCCATCCACAAGGGCCCTTGCTGGGAGCAGCACAGGTCCAGCCGGGCTTCAGCGGAGTGACAGCAGCTCCCAGGAGCCGCCCGCTGATCTGGCCTTGGCGCCAGCTAATTTAACCCTCCAACAATGGAGACCACGAGTGAAGGTGTCTCTGGAGGGAGGGAAACTGAGGCATGAGAGATGACGCGGTTTGCCCACAGTTACGGACCGCAGTGGGGAAACCCTACTGCCCGTGCAGGAATTCAAGCCCCCAACCTCCTGCGGCCCTGGCTGGGACGCCTTCCAGGCTTAACCTGTGGCAGGTGGGTGGGCCACATCAGGAAGCTCACCCGGTGCTCAGCAGACTTTCCCACCTCCGCCCAGAGGAGCCTGCTGAGCCTGCATGGGGGCAGCTTATGGAAAATGAGCCCTGCGGGGCCCCAGAGAAAGAGAGGTCAGCCTGCATTAGCCTGGGAGCTTCTGAGACAAACTGCAGGCCCCACCTAAACCACTCATGCATCCCTGATGTTGGGGAGGAGCAGCATGGGAGCAGAGGCTCTTAGTCTAAAATGGTCCTGTTCTGAGTATTTGGAACCGGCCTCTCTACTGGGCTCTGCAGGGCCTCGCTGGGTGGCTGGAGCGAGCCACTGTGTGCCCAGCTGTTGTATCTTGCAAAGAGGGCCCAATGTCATTACTCCTCCTGCCTTTCTGTCTGGAAGGAAATCGAGGAGAGCTCTGATTATTGTTTAAAACAAATACATGCACCAAATGCCAAGGTGCAGTGTAGGGAAGAAAGGGGGACTTGAAAGACCCCCCCAGCTCAGTGGGATGAGGAATATAAAACTGCCTACAGAGAGGCAAATATGATTTTCAGACCAGTTAATGACGGGCTGCCATCAAGAGTGGTGTGAGCACAGGGTCATTCCTTGCTGCTTTTGTTGAACCAGTTCTTAGTTTCAGAAGGCTCACTGATGGCACCAGAGCTGTCAGGAGGCCGTTGGCTCAGATTGCAGAATTGTACGCTGAAGGTGGTGATGGAACTTCCATCCTTCTGCAGTGGGGGCTGTGACCAGGATCTCTTTATTCTGTGGTCTGCATCAGCATCATTAGCCTGATAAAGCAAAACGCAACCCATAAAAGCACATCAAAAGAGCTGAGAAAGTGGGTCGGCACATAGTGGCAAAATCAGGTCAAGAGAAAAACGTGCTTTGAATCTTCCACCGAACTTTCTCCCCTTTTGTTTTTGCTTCTATCCCTCTGTGTTCCATCTTCCTTTTCTCTCTCTGCCCTTTCCCAACTCGATGCTTCCTTACATTCCCCGGTGAGATCCTTTCACCACACCCCCTCACTCCCAGACCTACAGCACTTTCTGTGGGTCACCCCTCCAGGTGTTCCTGAGCTCCGCTCACACTGGGGGCTGTGAGCTCCTCATTCCCATCATCAGTGAAGACAAATGACATAACAGCTACCACTATCATGGACTGCAGCTGTATTGGACAGTTGCCATTTCATACTTTCAGCTTCCTGTAGGGGGAAGTCACCCCTTACACATGAATTTAGTGGGATGTGGAACCCACCCTCCTGCAATGGAAGCTGGAGTGGGTGGGTGTTCCCCATCTTTCAGGTGCCCCCTTTCCCACTCTGTACTAGCCAGGGGGTGGTCAGTGACCCAGGCAGACTACCTGGACCCCCCTGCTTTGTGTTGTGACTCTGGAGCAAATGACACGGAAATGAAATGCTGAGAATCATCTCATGGAAGCTGCAGTGGTCCTCGGATGGTAAAAGGTCAGCAAAAGAAGCCAGACTGCAGGGGTGCATGTCCACTGGTAGCAATGTCCAGGGACGCAGGGTCCTGGGCCCCACTGAGATGCCTTGTCCTTCTTATATCTCCTTCTAGCTTCCTGTTAATTCTGTGAGCCTCCAACCTCCATCCAGTAAATTCTTTATTCTTTCGTGAAATAGCCCAAGTTGGATGGAAATACCATGTTACCTAACAATTCTGCTCTTAGGTATATTCCCAATAGAAATGTGTACGTAAATTTATTAAAAGAAACAATAGAATGTTCACAGAGCACTGTTCATAAAAACCCCAAATGGGAAAGCACCCGAATGCCCATGTTGAGTGGGTAAAATATTAGGGTCTCTTCACATGCTGGAATCCCACGCAGCCCGAGAATGAATGGTCTGCAGCTTCACCCCACAGCCTAGAGGTGAGGGAGGTAAGATGAGTACAGATTATCAATTCCATTTTTATGAAGCACAAAACCTGGCAAACCAATCCAGGTTGCAAGGAGAGATAGGAGGTTCTACTACTACAGAGTCACTACCGAGGAAAGAGTTACCAAGGGAACAGCCACCGCGGGGGCAGGAGGGAGCTTCCGGGGTGCTCTGATTCTGGATCCCATGCCATTCACCTGAATGTGATCCATTTGTGAAAGTTCTTCCATCTGTACACCTTGGATTTGGGTGCTTTTCTATATGTATGTTATACTTCAATAAAAAGTTGGGTTTTGTGGCTACCAGTTATGAATCCTACGTTATTTATTTTTTCAATTTTGGCAGTTTTCTCAACTCTTGGCTCCCCGTCAGACATCATCAACATGACACTAGTGATAACTAACATCAACAGTGGGGCATTTTCAGAGTGTGTCTGACAATATATTGAATTGCCATCCACAGCCGTCTGGATGGAGAACAGGCTTTCAGCTCCACCCAGGTGGCTGCCTGGACAGATGTGCCAACACCAGACTGAGGGCTTTGTAGGGAAACAAGAATTCTACAGGGACGCCCCCAACAGGGCTGAGGTGACAGCCTCTCAGCCCTCCTGCCTCTGACCATGAGGAGTAGAGTGGGGACGGCCTGCCAGGAAACCCATTCTGAGACACCGCCTCTGAGCCAAGAGCCCAGGGGCTCCCTGAGGATCCACACATGACACATGTGAGTGGGTACAAAGGGGCAGGAACTCCAGGCCTGACCCTACTCTTCCAACATGGCTGTCCGTCCGCCAGGCCATGCAGCCAGCCTGCTGGTCCCGATTCCAGAGAAGCTGCATTGGAGCAGTGGAGCCTGGAGCGATGGCCGGGTGGGTTGGAGTGTGGGCAGCAGGCGTGGCCTGAGGCTACGTGGAGCCCACCATGCAGGATGGGGTTCCTGAGGCCCTGCAAACCAAGATGCCAGCCTGTCACCCTTCAGGGGCCGGGCCTGAACACCATGGGTCACCTGCTCAGAAGCCCACTCCACGCAGTGCTGCAGCCCGGAACCTGGGAGCACAGACCCTTTCACTACGTCAACCTCGCACTTCTGACCTGGCCTGAGAAAATGGACGTGGGGCAGACCTGCATGAAAGTCGGGGCTCCAGAGTTGACCAATAGGGTTAGTACCTTTCCAAACCCTAATTAGCATAAGTCTGGACCACTAGCAATGTCCCAAGTGCTATACAAACCCCTGGACAAGCACACCCTTATACTTCAAGTGTTCCGTTCCTGTTTCTGTTTAGTAAGTTCTACTTTTACACTCATTCATCCTGTTTTGTAGATTTCATTCTTGGAATTCAGGAGGAAAGCCCAGAAAGGAAAAGAAAGAGCCCCAACATGTCTTAGTGACAGAGTCTGCTTCCTTACACACAGTGGAGTGGTGAGTCTCCATTCGCACCCATCAGCAGAAGCAGGAACTGAGTTTCATCTCACCTCCACCCTGTGCCCACCCCAGGGGCTCCCGCCCACCTCCACACCTCACACTGTTTCCAGAACTCAGTGCTGCCTTCCTTGCTCTCAGCCATTCCCTATTGGCAGCTCTGCTGTGCGGAACCCAGGGCGATCACAGGATCTTCACGCTGCCCCCATGAGTCCAAGCGCTTGCCTTTGATCGAGCTCCAGGCCTCACAGAACTCAACAATGAGTCAGGAATTCTCAGCAGCCCCCCTCTGAGGGAGCCGTGGGGGAGAGCAAACCAAAGGTCAGAAGGGATTTTGTTCCAGTGGCTGTTCACACTTGAGATTAAATAGTAATGACAAGGGGCTGGGGTTGTGGCTCAGCAGTAGAGCGCTTGCCTCAGCACCACACAAAAATAAATAAAATTGTATCCAACTACAACTAAAAAAAACAAACAAAAATTTTTTAAATAGTAATGACAACAACTCATGCTTGGACCTGCGAACATGGGCCACGGCAGTGCCCGGAGGGCTCCTTCCATTCCCTTAGCCCTTCATGGAGAGAAGACTCCTGTCATGGTGGTTGTTATCTGGCACCAGGGACACTCTGCCCCTCAGCCTCGTATCCTCCCCCAGAGCCCAGCCCCGGGCAGCTTGCTAGAGACGAGCTGGGAGCTCTGCTGGCTCTCAGCCTCTGTAGATGAGTGCAGATGGATGGTAACACCTCCGCTGGCCACGACCTGATGTCCCATTTGGTGTCTAGTCAAACCCTACCCTCGACTCTGCAGATCTGCCCACCTGTGGAACTTAGGGCCCTGCATGCTCTGGCCTCGGCTCTTGTGTCACTATCACGCCCCTGCAAAGCCCAGTGTTCCTGCACAGTGCCACCACCTCCCTCTCTATGTCCCCTGTGCAGGGCCTCTGCATCTATGGCAGCCACTACCTTTCTTTGCTGGGTCTCCTTATTTCATAGAATCCAACACAAGTATCACTGGTGGCTCCAGCCTTCGCTGGCCTCTCTGACCAGGTGAGTCTGTTTCTAGGCTCTTCTAGAGCCTGCACCTGATATTCTCCTCTCTGGCCCTTGTCCCGTGGCCATTGTACATTCATATGAGTAATTACCCAGCTAACACCCGTCTCTGCCACGATGCCGGAACATCAGGAGAGCGAGGACTCTGGTGCTACCACAGCATCCGGCACCCAGCCGGTCACCTGGCATGAGAAGGGCACTCACTGCCATTATCTGAAGAGATACGTGAAAGCTACTGCTCGCCTGGAGGAGTCCAAGTGAAGTCACTTGCCCAATACCAGACCACTACTGAAAGCCTGGACTTGAATTTAGATCAGTCCATCTGAGACCCCACGGCCCTGCCCACTGTCACACACACCAAGGGGTTTACGAACCGGAAGGCCCTCATCTCTCCTGCAGGAGAAGTCGCACCAGGAACCCTGTGCTCTGGGTGCTCCTTATGCTTTCTTGCCACTTGAAAGCCTGCATGTTCCAGAGGCACCTCCACGCAGCTGACATGGCTGTAATTGTGGTAATTAAGCCAAGGGGCAGCCCCAGGAGAGGGGGGAGCATGGCTTGAAAAGGAAAGAGCCAGTCCTGTGAGTCACAAAGGCCAAATTGCCCAGTTCAGCTCAGCTTAATGCAGTACTTTGGAGTGGGGGGTACTGAAGTGCTTCCCGGGGAGAGGCCTGTGCTCACGGAGGCCAGGTGCATGGACAAAACTCATTCTCTAACTTTTCGTTCCAGATCTTTCTCACGCACTTGGAGCCTTTTACGTTTTTTATTCTTCTGTTTCCCCTTTTGCTTCTAAGTTAAATTAGACTTTATTCAGCTCGATTTTAAGTATGAATTGGTCGTTGGGGCAGCACAGAGGACCCACCGTCCTGAACTGATCCGGGGCTCTGTAGCTGCTGCCCTCCTCAACTCCTGTGCCTTGAAGGAATAACTGGTTGCCTTGTCTCAGCCCTTGCTGGGTCTGACACTTGGAGGTGACGATCCACATGGGCACCCCCTGCTTTAGTTACACAGGAGCAAGGAAAAGGAAGGACGAGGAGGCATCTGCTGGACACATTGGGCCAGGCAGTATGTAGGAGGCCAAAAAGCAAAACAAGGAGTGCTGAGGAGCTTGGGCTTACCGCAGGGGCTGGGGTCCCGGCTCTGCCACTGCTCAGGGCCTTCGTATCCTCCTGTGGTTACAGGAGGATAACAGCTCTGTCACAGGGCTCCCTAGGATTCAGCAAGATAACCCAGACAAGGAGCTGGCTCAGCAGACAGAAGGGCCCTCACTAGACTCGCTGTGGACACAAGACCTCAGAGACACAGAATTTAAGAAAAGACTGCCATAAACCAAGGACTCAGCACAGGGAGGCAAGAAGCAGAGACCTGCCAGCCAGGAGCCGCACCCACCCCAACTGGCACCAGTACACACTGGGACTCCCGGCTTCTTAACGCATGGATACAGCCTGATATGCCAGCTTCAGGGGCTGCCCTGTGGGGACGGACCTCATGACCTTCAGGGAAGACAGGACCTCAGGACAGTCAGCAGCAGGAGGGTGGCCAGGCCTGTAGGGATTTGCTATTTGAAGGGGTGCTGATCACAGTCGTTTGAGAGAAATCAAAGTATTTGTTGGGGCTTATCGGGGACCAGAGTGTTCACCCAAGGAGCAACCCTGCAGTCTCTGACACTTTTTTTTTCTTGGGCATTTGGGGATTGAACCCAGGGTATCCTTCATGCTAGGGAAACCCTCTACCACTAAGGGTAGACCACTTAAGGGTAAAACCCTCTACACCCCCACCCCTACACCTTTTTGGTTTTTTGGGGATAGGATCTCCATAAATTTTCCAGGTTGGCCTCAAACTTGTGATCCTCCTGCCTCAGCCTCCCAAGTTGCCGAGATTACAGTGTGGGCCATCTCTCTTGGCTCTGGTGACTGGAACTTACTGTTCCCTTGCTGGGTCTGACACTTGGAGGTTGTTCCCAGCTATGAAAAAGGGAGTGCCGTCCTTTTGTGGTGAGCTGGCTTTTCCATCTGTTATTTTCTGGGTTTTATTCTGACAATTTTCAATGAATACACACCGCAGCAAGAAGCCAAAGGCTGAGCCCCGTCTCTGCCAAATCAGACCCTGTAGGGACTAGAAAAGCAGGACAAGGAGGTATGGCCATGAGGCTCAAGCTGAGCTGAGGGATGTCCTGCAGCTGCCCAGCAGGAGGTTCGGAGGAGTGCTCTGGGCAGCCTTCAGGGGTCAGCCAGTGCAGGCTTCTCAAACACATTACCAGAGACTGGGTGGCTTATAAACAGCGGAAAGTTATTTCTCCCAGTTCTAGAAGCTAGCCATCAGAGATCAGGGTTGCAGCACTGCCGGGCTCTGGTGAGGGTCCCTCCAGGTCACATGCTGTCATCTTCTTGCTGTGTGGAGGACAGAGAGAAGCAGACCTTCTCTGGACCTTACAAGGCACTAGTCCCATCTAATCCTAATCACCTCCCAGCGATCCCACCTCTTAACACCACCAACGAGGGGGTAGGGTTTCAGCACATCAACACGGGGACACAGGCTCAGTCCACCAGGAAGGCTGCTGGAGATTGACAGGCAGCTCTAAGTTGGCCATGGTCCCTTCCCGCTCACAAGCTGCCATTCCCACCTCTTGGCTCCTTATCACATGACTCTGGAAGCAGCTTTGTGCTGGAGGCACAGTGGTAAGGCTCAAACTCAGCTTGCAGGAAGCCCCCAGTGGACTCCAGCACCAAAACAAGGAGAGACAACATGGCCTTCAAAGAGAGATCATTTAAAATGAGGCCAAATGGGTGAGTTAAGACCTGATCTGACGGGTGTCCTTATACAAAAGGAACATG